TAGCCTAGAGTGCCTCTAACAGTACAACAGAAGCTGACCCTCACTCCTCCTCTTCCTGGCCTCCCAAGGGCTGGGTTAGAGGCGTGTGCCGCCACACCTGCTTCTTGCAGCGCTGACGGTCAAACCCAGGGCCTCAGATGCTGAGCAAGCATCAGCTGAGTTACACCCCCAGTCCCCGGGGCTTCTTTTTAATGAGGGAAGGTGGTTGGTTGGTGTTCTGAATGACTGACAAGCAGAGTGCACCCTATACTGACAAAGCTTCAGACCAGTGCTCTCCAGGAAGCATAGAGGGGCTTCCTCGTAGGGTTGCTTCTCCACACGCTCCATCACTCTGGTAGCTACTCAGTAGTGCAGCTGTTCGTGTGCAAGGGCAACAGGAGGCCTGGAGGTCACAGTGTGCGCAGAGCAGAGCAACTGCTCCCCAAGCAGCCTTTTCTCCAAAGCCGACATTCTTCTGTCTCCCACTCCCTTCCCAGGGTTTCTGACAGCGCACGTTGAAGCATTCTACTGACGTTTTGAAAGAGATGTTTAAGACCATCCCAGAACAGATTTCTCCCCAGGGTATATTCATCCACAGGAATGAAAATATGTCAGCTCCAACAAACTACAAGGAGGCTGCACCTGAAGCAGGAAATGGAGCGACGGTCCTTTCCAGAACTGAGAGGAGGAGAATGCAGAGGAGGCAGCTACTTACTTTACTTTTTTTGAGAAAGGTCCTTGCTAAGTAGCTTAGACTGGCCTAGAACTTGCAAACAGTCCTCTCGCTTCAGGCTCCCAGATACGGGGTTTACAGGTATGTGGTACCACACCAGTTTTCATAGTCATGGGTTAAGACGGAAGTCCTGATCCTCTGTATCCTGGCTTTATGTGATGATACAGATGAATCGGGCTTCACGAATATGAGGCAAGCAGTTTCTCAACTGAACTACATTCCCAGTCTCCTCTGGCCCTTTCCGTGTGTGTGTGTGTGTGTGTGTACATGAGTATGGAGGCCAGAGGCCAAACCTGCGTGTTGTTCCTCAGGAACTATCCTTCAATTTTGGAGACAGGGTCTCTCATTGGGTCCTGAAAATCACAGTTCATATCGGCTGGGGAGCCAGGGAGCCTCAGGGGTCTGCGAGTCTACCTCCCAGGCGGGATTACAGCCAGCTGTACCAGGCCCAGCTTTTACCGGGTCTCCAGGTTGCACAGCACGTACTCCTCAGTCTGAGCCACCTTCCTAGCCCATGCAGTCCTTTCCTAGTCAGAGAAATACATTTTCAGTCCAGTGTAGCCAAAGTCCAACCTTCCATACTTATCAACCCACCGTGGGTACCATTTTCAGAACCAGAGCAGGCCTTCCAAGGGGCCTGTGTGGGCTGGTGCTTTCACAGACCACCTCTACGTCCTCATCCGCTATGGTAGCACGCTTGCAGCCACGGCTACTTCAGAGGCTGATCAGGAAGATGTCTTAAGCTCATGAGTTTGAGACCAGCCTGAACAGCCCAGTAACACCCCTCTCAAAAAAGAATGAAGAGGAGGGCTGGAAAGGTAGCAGCGGCTGGCGGGCTGCCACCAAGCAGGAGGACTGTGATTCAGAGCCCAGCACCCATCTGAACCCTGCCTTGGCATGGAGGGCCGCCTGAATCCAGCAGGGAGGAGAAGACAGGGTATCCCCAGAGCAAGCTGCTGAGTCAGTGAGCTGGGAGTGGGGCTCAAGTGAGAGCCACTGACTCAATACATGAGGTGGAAAAGCACTGAGGAAGACCCCGGAGACCAGCCTCTGCCTACCACAGCCAGGAGCACAGGTGCACACACACACGAAAACACTCATACACACATGGACGTCGAAACGCTCCAAAGAGGCTAAAGCCATGACCACTGGCATCTAGGGCTGCCTTCTGACCTCCAGAAAGAATGCCATCGCATGCACACAGGGACACAGACACATAAAAATATTCAGTTACTAGGCAGGTGTGGTGGTACACACCTTTAATCCGGCACTTAGGAGGTAGAAGCAGGTGGATATATGTGAGTTCAAGACCATCCTGGTCTATACAGTGAATTCCAGGGTAGACAGGGCTACAGAGAGAAACCCTGTCTCAAAAACAAAAACAAAACAAAAGCATCAAAAATCAGTTACTGAGAAAAATGATCTACTTAGGAGTATAAAGACCAAGCAGAAATGATCAAGTCACATGAAGATAAAACACCGACAGAAAAGGAGACAGGGGCCCTGGCCCAGGAGTTCCATCATGGCGTGGTTCCGCCACGGGAATGCGTGTCGGGCGAGGACGTCTGTGACCTCGAGGTAGGACAGCATGTGTGTCCCACAGCTGGGTGATGGCAGCTGCTCTCCGGCGGCCCTGTCTCTGGGATGGAAGGAGATAAGCCCAAAGGCACCGGATTTCACAGGGAAATGTAACCATCACTTCCTCAGACTGAACTCATGTGGTGCTCTTCAAGTCCAACAGGAAAGCACAGAGGGAGGAAGGCAGATTACATGAAGGTTTCCACGAGGCCATCAAGTCAGCCAGGGACACTGAGGACATCGGGGTCTCTGAGGAAGTTCTATGCTGTCTAGTAAGGTCTGACTGCAGACCTGGGCCCTTACAGCTCTGGATTACCAAACAACCCAGAGCAGAGGGTCAAGAGATGGGCTGGGGAGATGGCTCCGGCAGTAAAGGGCTTGCTGTGTAAGAACGAGGGCCTGAGTCCAGACCCCCAGCACCCGTGGACAAGGTCAGGTATGGCAGTACAAGTTGGTAACCGCAGTCCTGGGCACTTCCTGTCCCTAAGTGGACCCCTGGAGTTTACTGGCCAGCAGTCTGGCCCATCTGTTAGCTCCAAGTTTATCGAGATACTCTGCTTAAAAAGTCTGAGGGGGGCTGGAGACTGCTCAGTGCTTAGAGCACTGCTGCTCCGCCAGGACCTGACTTCAACTGCCAGCACCCAGACGGCAGCTCACAACTGCCTGTGACTCCAGTTTCTGGGCTCTGCTGCTCTCCTGGCCCCGAGAGCACCAACACACGTGGTGCACACACAGAACACCAACACACACACAACAGTAAACTAAACTTTACAAAGAAGCAGAGAGCGATTAAGGGGAGCAGCCAATGTCTGGCTTCCATGGACATTCAAGTGCACACACGAACAGAGAGGCCACACACAGAGGACAAGCCCTGCCTCTCACCATGGCAGGTGGGCTCCCTACTGATAGCATGGGGACATGTGAGCAAGACAAGGCCCACGTCCTGGTGACCTGAGGCTGCACCGCTGGTGAGTGTGAGTGCTTCCTTATGGAGATGAGAACCTTCTCCAGTGGGAAAAAGGCAGAACAGTTCAGCCTTTCACAGCCTGTCTGGATGTTAGCCGCAGCTAGCCAACGGTGGCCCTCTCACAACTCAGGCTAATACCAGTTCCTCCTCTCTGCTCGTCTGTAAGGAGGGGTCTGATAGCTCGCCTGACACAGGCCGCGGTGATGTCTGATGTCCTGACAGTGGTCAGACTGGCAGGAAGCTCAATGGCTGGCCTCTTCCCTATGTGTGCCCACACAGGGACACCTGCACAGAGCATTATGGCTCTGACTAGAACTAAGACACTGTCATGGGGCTGTGCTTATTCTTCGAAATACACTCTGTCCTAGAAAAAAAGGTGACAGTATTTTCATAGCAGTCATCACTTTTTCCCAACTCAAGAAAAAATGCACAGCGCATGACTGGACACTAAGACGGTAAAGGGCTGCTGTGCGAGGCTGATGACGGGAGCTTGAGCTCTGGACCCAAATAAAAACTCCAGGCTCGTAGGAGAAAAATAAGTAACAGGACAGGAGCCTGCCGCAGAGGGCTCCTGAAAGACTCTACCTAGCAGTGTATCAAAGCAGATACTAAGACTGATAACCAAACCTTCGGCAGAGTGCAGGGAATCACATGAAAGAAGGGGGAGTTAGTAAGACATGGAGAGGATAGGAGCTCCACAAGGACCAAATATATCTGGGCACAGGGGTCTTTTCTGAGACTGACACTCCAACCAAGGACCATGTATGGATATAACATAGAACCCCTGCTCGGATGTAGCCCATGATAGCTCAGTAACCAAGTGGGTTTCCCTAGTAAGGGGAACAGGGACTATTTCTGACAGGAACCCAATGGCAGGCTCTTTGACCTCCCCACCCCCAAGGGAGGTGCAGCCCTGTTAGGCCACAGAGGAGGACTTTGCAGCCAGTCCTGAAGATACCTGATAAAACAGGGTCAGATGAAAGGGGAGGAGGTCCCTCCTATCAGTGGACTTGGAAAGGGGCAGGGAGGAGATGAGGGAGGGAGGGATTGGGAGGGAATGAGGGAGCGGGATATAGCTGGGATATAGAGTTAATAAAATGTAACCTAAAAACAAAACAAAACAAAACAAAACAAAACAAAACAAAATTCAAAACTCCAGGCTCAAGTGGCAGCACCCACAGGGTGGCTCGCGGTCAGCCGCAGCCAGCATCAGAAGATCTCATGCCCTCTTTTGGCTGGTGCAGACACTGCACACACACAATCACAAGACACACACAGGCCAAACACCCAACCATAAGATAAAATACACCAAAAATATAAAAAAGCCAGAGGTGGTGGACATCTGTAATCCCAGCACTCCTACCGTGAGACAAGAGGTGCAGCTAGGAGGGTCAGAGAGGACCACAGAGCAGCTAGCATGGAGTATGCCGCGGGGCAGAAACCAGGAGAGACACTCCTTTAGCCAGGCTCTCTGACTTCTACGTGTACGCCGTAGTGTGTATACGTTTACACAATACTCAATGAAAGAAGGAGCAAAGGTTGCCTCTCTGTACCCAGGAAGAGAATTTTCAGTGGTGATGGACCTGATACAAGTGACTCACTGGACTGGCACTATCTCGGCCCCATGACAGGTGGCTGAGCACCTCCTAAGCCCACCTTCTGTGGATCAGCAACAAAGGCTGATCAAATGCATTCCCTGACCAAATGCAAAAGAACAGAGGGTGACGTCACAGAGGCACTTACTTTGCAGTAGTTTCTTCATCATATTTGGTTTTCAGGTCAAATAATTCTGTTCGAGTTTTTTCCAGGGCTAAAAAGCAAGGACAGAAACCACGACATAAGACACCAATCTTGTTTGTTTAAGAAAAGGTCTACAGAGCCGAGGCTAGCCTTGAACTCATTTTACAGCCAAAGATGACACTGAACCTCTGACATGTCTGCTTCTACCTACCTGGCACTCAGATTACGGGTACTCGCCACCCCCCACGCCATCTTTGGATGCTGAGGATCAAATCTGGGGATTTTTGAGCACTAGGTAAGCACTGTGCTGACTGAACTATATCCCACCTTGTTAGCTGCTTTCTCAAAGATGGAGTGGTACCCCAGGTTGGCCTTGAATTCTGGATCTCCCTAGGTACAATTCCCCAGTGATGGGATTACAGGCATGCACCATCAAACCCAGCCAGGACACCAAGCGCTTAGAGCTAAAGGGGAAATGCACACAGAGATGAGAGAAACAGAGAATAAAAGAAGAGAATTTCCCCGAACTTTGCCATCTCTCTGCAATGCCTCTTCAACAGAGAACCACTGTCCATAGTTTGCTGCATAGACTTCCAGCTGCAAATACAGCTGCAGACTTTGTATCTCCATTAAACACAGACCAAGTGTATGACAGAGGTCACACACGATCATGCAGCCAAACATTCCTACCTGCGGCAATATGGCTGCCAACGTTGCAGCCTAGCATGGGACTGTGAGGCTACGTGATGCTGGTGAGGCTGAGTAAAGCATGCATACGGTAACAGTCATGATTGTAGAGAACTCTGCTCCTCCTAGTTTATGCATTTCCCGTAAACAGGAAGGTTCTGTGTTAGCGTATGCTCGCCTCCATGTGTGTGCATGTGTGAATGCAGCCCCAAAGACAAACTTGTTCTTCAGACACCACCCACCTTGGTTTTTTTTTGAAACAGTCTCCCATTGGCCTGGAACTCACCAAGTGGGCCAAGCTGGCAAGGCTGGTGAACTCCAGGAACCAATGTCTCCACCTCCTGTGCTCGGCCATACATGGTCTTTTACATGGGCTGGAGAGGCTCAGATCTAACGGTTGTGAGTTATGAATCTGAGCAACACCCTCAGCTTCCATTACACTCTTCAATCATTATTTAATGATACTGCTACTCATTAAAAAGTTTATTGTGGGCTGGAGAGATGGTTCCGAGGTTAAGCTCTTGCAGAGGACCCAGACTTGGCTGCCAGGACTCATGCTGCGGAACTCACAACTACCTGTAGCTCCACTCCAATGGGGTCTGACACGTCTGCAGCCACCTGCACTCTTACACACACACACACACATACACACACACACACGAACCCCAAAAGCTTATTTGAAAACAGTATGCTCTGTGGAAGGAGCAGAACCTTGTCTCTAGACAGTGACCTTCACTCACTGGCTGAGCGGAATAGCAAGGCCCAGCGGTGCCTGTCACGTAAGCGTGGAGGAAGCTGCAGCCAGAGAGGAGCTCTAGGCCGGCTTGGCTCACCTGGTTTGGTCTGCGGTCACCGAGAGGCTGGCGTGCCCCAGTCGGTATCAGCACCCTCATGTTCACACCACATGGCGAAACTTCCCAGAATGAACCTCCACCTCTGTCTCTATCCCTCCCTATCTACACATCCATCAATGGGATGATAGGAATATTTTCTGAGGGTCCTCTTTTCCCTTAGTGGTCTAGAACAGAAGTCTCTCCATGTCAAGACACAGGCGAGCAAGTAGTTTAACTTTTAAGATACTCAGAAGTGAAGCTGCTGGAGAAAGACCTGAGCATGCCAGTCCCTACCCCCCCCCCCCCCCCC